GGGGGGGGGGGGGATTATTAGCAAGAAATAAAATATCTTAGCTTAAACCCAAACAATCCAAGGCAAATGTGTAAGATAAACTAGTAACAGAGAATCCACAAAAAAAAATATAGAAAAAAAATAATCATAATTTACTATTTTTCCTTGTGATTTTGTTGCTCAATGATGTCTTCAATCAGAGATGTTAAGTTAACATAAGAAGAACCACCTTCTCCAAATGCCTTTTTAGCCAATTCTCCTAACTCTTTTGCTTTTGTTCTTCTTACTTGTCCTTCTTCTCCTTCATCCATTAGTTTGTCTAATGCTTTCTTAACATCATCCTTTTTTACCAAAACTCCAACATTTTCCTCATCTCCCCATTTGACAGGCACCTTCACACCTAGGCTCACTCCAATTTTTAGCACTTGGACTACTAACTTCTCATTGCAAAATTGCTCAGCAAATAGTGGCCATGTTACCATTGGTAATCCTGCTGAAATACCTATACAATACATAATTAAGTAATTAAAATGATATTATTCTAACAGTTTGAATTTTTAGATAAGATAAATAAAAGTATATTATCTCTAATAGTTAAATTTTTTTAGATAATAGTTTAATTTCGGTAAAGTTATCTTTGGGGGCCCATAGGTCACACGTTCGAGTCATGAAGTAACCACTAATATCTGCATATGGGTCGTCTGCTTAAATCATACCTTTTAGGTGTGGCTTTTCCTCGGACTCTGCGTGAACGTATGATACTTTGTGCACCGAATTGTCCACTTTTTTTTGGTCACACAATTTAATTGGTATTAGAGCAGGCAAGATTCAAGTCTCACCCCACTTACTTGGCGCTAGTCAAGAGATAATTAAGTAAATAAAACATGGTATATCTAATAATTTAAACTTTAGATAAGATGATCACACAATTGAATAGTACCTTCCAATGTAGAATTCCATCCGCAATGAGTCAATACTCCACCAATTGCAGGGTGTGAAAGTATAAGCACTTGAGGAGCCCATCCTCTAATCAAAACTCCTCTTTCTTTAATTCTTTGCTCAAATCCATTCTCAAGAATCCATTTCTCTAAATCATTTAATTTATCACCTCCTCCTAATACCCATACAAAAGGCCTATTTGACTCTTCTAAACCAAGACCAAGTTCCACCATTTGCAATAATGTCAAACGAGATAAACTTCCAAGACTTGCATAAACCACAGATTCTGTTTCAAAATTATCTAACCATTTCAAGCAATCTTGATTATCAATTGCAGTTTTATTACCCCTTGTAACCAAATCTTCAATTTCCTTATTACACAAAGAAACAGGACCAACACACCAAACTTTTTTCCCTCTAGCTTTCCTATATTCTTTCTCATACACTTGCTCCAACTCCTCAAAACTATTAACAATTACACCATATGATGATTCCTCGGCTAATCTGATTTGCTCAGTAACTTCTTTCAATACAGAAGAACTAACAGAAGTAGTATTTTTCGTCGATCCTGAAACCTGAGCTTTCGTTAGTTCAACTCTATCGGGTAAATCAGGAACAACAAAATACTCTGAATCTGAGGTTATATTTTCAAGAATGTTGGAGGAAAGTATTTTATAGGAACATAAAAGTGAGAAACAACAAGTACCATGAAAAACAATTCTTGGGATATTAAAATTTTGTGCAATTTGAGTAGTCCAAGGAAATCCCATATCTGAAATAACACAACTTGGACTTGGATTTATTCCTTCTAAGAGATTTTCAACTTGTTGTTTCAGCATACTAATTGCAGCAAAAAACTTTGAAGCCAAGTCAAGAGAAGGAAGCATGTCAATATTTTCGCAACCTTCTGGTAATCCTACTTCTACACTTGGAAATTTGAGTGTAAGAATTTGGATTCTTAGACCGGATTTTATGGCACGAGTAATTGTTGAACTGAAACGATTGGCGTTTACTGGAGTGGTGATGATAGTGGTAATGACACCGCGATTTGCTAGAAGTTTAGCTATGTCTATCATAGGAATCATGTGGCCTGGAGCCATTAAAGGGAATAGTATGAAATGAAGTTTGTGCACTTGAGTTGCCATGGCAAAAGAAGGATATGCTCAAAGATCTTAGTATTGGGGGTTTTGGATTCTTGATTTTAAGCTATAAAATTCAACTATACAGTTGTTATAGATGCAATTGGTTCACCAATTGAGGAAATACCAGGGACATCGTGGTCCACTTTGGTAGTACAACAAAGTAGGTAGAAGTGAGCAAATTGTACACTTTTACTTCTTTCTTTTTTTGTGATAATCATAATGATAGGTGGAAAGTAGAGCAACGGTAAAGTTGTTTTCGTATTACCTACAGGTAACGAGTTTGAATTGTGGAATTAATTATTAATATTTGTATTAAAGTATGTTATCTATATTACACACCTTTGGAGTGCGGCCCTTCCTTAGACCCTGCATTAACGCGAGATACTTCGTACACCAAGCTACCCTTTTCAATCACAAAGTTCATTCAGTTTGCGCCTTTATATGTTGAATATATCACAAGTGCTTAGTACGTTTCACTATTATATGCAAGTAACTCCATCCACAAAATTTAAGCAAATGAAAAAAAATCACATAGCTTTTTATGTCGTTTTTATTACTATCTGAACCCTTATGCCTAATAATTTTCACTCTTAGGTGCGTGAGCAAATTGTAGACTTCAGATAGTCTTAATCGTTATCCAAGTAAAGAAGATTATGTAAGATGTCTCACTCTTTATCCAATCATGTTTGCAATTGCAGTGTCAATTATTGATATGATGATATATCCAAGCAATAATAGGTGAACGTAAATTTTGAGCAACCAATACGTGCCAAAAATATGAGAAAAATGGACCACATCTGAACTTCTCCAGTTTGGGATGAATAATGTGAAAGGCATTGTGAAATTTCTCGATTGATAGAAACAAGTTGAATTATAGCCTGCTTGGCCAAATTTTATTTTTTTTTTTCCCAAAAGTGCTTTTGGCCAAAAATTGAGGTATTTGGCCAAGTTTTTAGAAGGAAAAAAGTGTTTTTGAGGAGAAACAGAAGCAGATTTTCAGAAGCAGAAAAATATAGCTTCTCTCCAAAAGCACTTTTCTAAGAAGTACTTTTGAGAAAAATACACTTAAAAGCAATTTTCAAAAGCTTGGTCAAACACTAATTATTGCTCTAAAGTGTTTTTCAAATTAATTAGTCAGACACAAACCGATTCACACCAAAAGTACTTTCTTGAAAAATACTTTTCAAAATAAGCAAATTTTAGAAGTTTGGCCAAATACGCTATTAGTCAGACCCCATTCGGGGAGAAGCACTCCCTACCAAGAATTTTTCCATACCCAGGATCCGAACCCGAGATCTCTAATTAAGTGAAGAGTAATCACATCTACTACACCACATCCTTTGAATTTGAAATTTTTAAGTTTTTCTAAATCAAATTTATATATTTAGAAGTTTGAAACTACGTAAAAAGTATTATAAGTGACAATAGTTAACAATTCAAAATATATAAAAGGCATATAAAAGAATTACAATAAAAGAAAAACTCATTTAACTGCCGAAATACGAAGTATTAGTTTTATCATTAAATTGTACAATTTGCGTAAGGAAAATGTGCACTATCTACCAATAATATGAGAACAATGTAGAAGAAACTCGTCTGATTATTTCCAGTTTGGGACCAATGATGTGAGACATTTTGGAATATCTCCAGGTCGATATATAGTAACAAGCTAAACGATTGTATAAGTCATTTTCAAAGATTTTAAGAACCCTCTCAAGTCTCAACTAATGTCCACTTTAATTAATCTTATCGGATGAATAAATAATTAAAAGTGTTTACGTGTCTCCCTTTTTTAAAATATCAAGTAAAATAACAAAAGGAAATCTTCTGATTCAAAGGTAGATCCAAAATTTTAAACTGGTAGCCAGGTAGGTGTAGTACCAATATACTGTTTGTTCTTTTATGATATATATATATATATATATATATATATATATATCATTTTTTTCGGATGGACTGACTCAAAATTTGTATTTAATGCTATCTTCCCCAGAATTACTTATTTTTTATTTATCGAAGTTATTTGCTGGTTTGTATTTAATGCAACTGTTCCCAAATTGACGAATTTGTCGCAATCAACTTGCACGCATTGCACATGACATGTTTATGATGCAGGAGTGATATTTATTTATTTAATAGGGGTGTCTGTCGGTTAAAAATATATATTAAGATATGATTCGAAAAGTTAAAAAATTTAAACTATTTCAAACACAACTTAATTTTCTTTATGATAACAACTAGCAGTATTATATACTGAGTAATCCTTTCGATCCAAAAAATTAGTCAGATGTGACAAACCAGCAAGCTGAGGGGATCTGAAATTAAAGAGCGAAGACTAATACTGTACCCACTGCTCCTTTTTTTGTGTGGCAATAGTGGAATCTTAGTACTAGAATATTTATCTTTCCAAATATAGGGTGTATTTGGTACGAAGGAAAATATTTTCTCTAGAATATAATTATTTTCTGGCAATTGAACTTCAAAAAATAGTTTCCTTAAAAATATTTTTCATTAAAAAGGGTAAACGATTTCGTTAATGATTTTAACCAATATAGTCCATTTGAAATAATTTTTTAAGTTTAGAGAGGGTTGACAGTGAGACAATGTTTCTTCGGAAAATTACTTTCATAGTACCAAACACCCCCTAAGATCCAGCCCAAGACAATAGTGAAAGATGGAAATTTAGGGAAAACATAGAGGAAGAGAAGCTAACTAATAAACCTTATACTGTAAAGAGCAAACTTAAAATGGACAATTACTTAAAGAAACTGAGAAATGAAAACACAGCAGCTAAATTATATTCCTAAATGACACAAATCACAATTCAGGGGAAAGGGTTTATGCATGTCTATATATATTCTGGAAAACAAAAACCTTGCTTTTCATAAGAACTATAAAGAACTTGCCTCAACACTGCTCAAACTTTGTTGCATAATATCTTGAATCAAAGCCTCTATGTTAAGGTAAGATGAGCCACCTTCTTCTAAAGCCCTCTTTGCCATCTTAGCAATCTCTTTTGCCTTTCTACGTCGATCTTCTCCTTCTACACCCTTATCGAAGATCTTGTCAATGGCATTCTTTACATCTCCGCGCTTCATTACTAAGCCTGATTTCTCCTCCATTCCCCATGTAACAGCAGCCTTGACTCCCACACTAACACCAGTGTATAACACTTCTGTTATCAATTTCTCATTAATAAACTGCTCAGCAAACAATGGACAAGTTATTATAGGCAAGCCAGAGCAGCATCCTTCTAGAGTTGAATTCCAACCACAATGTGTTAAGAAAGCACCAACAGATGGATGACACAATACAAGAATCTGAGGAGACCAGCCTTTTATTAAAAAGCCTCTTCCTTTAATCCTTTCTTCAAATCTTTCTTCTTCAATCCATTTCTCTAACTCTTTAGACTTCTCCCCTCCTCTCAATACCCATATGAATGGCCTATTTGATGCTTCCAAACCTAAACCAAGTTCTACAAGTTGTGAACATGTGAGGCCACAGATGCTTCCAAGACTGGCATAAACCACTGAGTTTGGTTGTTGCAAGTCAAGCCATTTCAGGCATTGGTTCTCATCTAAAGAGACAGTTTTGCCTCTTGCAGCCTTTTCGGATTCCGATTTGTTGCAAGCTGAAACAGGGCCAATGCACCAGACTTTCCCACCTTTGATCTTTTTGAATTCTTGAACATATTCAAGTTCTAGTTCCTCAAAAGTATTGACAATAATCCCATCTGAGATGGATTCAGCAGCAACCATCTTATTGCGAACGTCGACCAAATCTGGTGAGCCTGGATTTAGATTTTCAGGCAATTGTGATTTAGTCAGCTCTATTCTATGAGCCAAACCGGGTACTACAAAAGGCTCAAACTTGGAGACAACCTCATGAACTTTAGAACTCTGCAATTTCTGTGTGCATGTAGAAGAAAAACAGCCCATACCATCAAAGAAAATCCTAGGAACTCTAAACTTACATGCACTATCGACTGTCCAGGCCATGTTTTTCCCAGATATTATGCAGCTAGGACTAGGCTTAAGATCACTGAACAATTCTTCAAATGGTTTTTGCAACATGCTAGCAGCTACAAAGAAATCCTTAATCGAATGGCGAGAAGGTAAGGAATCCATATTCTCACATCCCTTGGGCAAACCGGCTTGTACAGCTGGAAATTCGAGTTCAAGTATTCTGATCTGAAGGCCTGATTTGACAGAGTGATCAATACCTGATTTGAATCTGATGGTGTTAAGGGGTGTAGAAATTATAGAAACAATTACACCATGTTGTGCTAACAATTTAGCTAAGTCTACCATAGGGATGAGATGACCAGGGGACATTAAGGGTACAAGGACAAAGTGAACCTGAGACTTTTGAGCAGCCATTGAGTAATGCAAATATGCTCTTCAGTTTGCCTGATAAATCAGAGGAGTGGAGAATTTATCAGAAGCTTTTGAGTGTTTCTTGAAAGTTGAAAATTACTTTCTGGAAGTGAGATGCAATAGCCTCTCAACTTTTCTTTGGTACCACCAAACTTATAGTCCTGTGATGAGACTCTCCCACAGTACAGATTCAACTCTCACTGTCCACCTTCCATTTTTCTGTCCCCTCTCCCCCTTCTCCAATCCTCTATGATTAGAAAAATAATATTTTAGAGAAAAGCCAAAGCTAAAGCTAAGATAGGTATAAAGTGACAAGGGGATACAAAAGCCTGGCTCTCAATATATGCTTATCTTGGTGGCTGATGTGAAAGCTTAACAATGGAAGTCAACATACATAGGTCATGTCATTTATAATTGCAACTGCATGCATATGCCAGTGCTTGTTTTATTTCTTTTTCTCCTTTCTCCTGGGGTTGAAACCCTTTTTTTTTTGCTCTCTTCTCAGGGTGGAGTGGTTGGGGAACGTTGAATGTGGGGGTTGGAAAAAAATGAATTAGTTAGAACAGAAAGGATAAAATATGAAGGAAATGGAAAGTGAAGGAAGGGATAAACTATTCTCACTGCTATGATTGGACAGTTAGGAGAAGAAATACAGCATACTTGAGCAAAAGAGATTTAAAAAACATATTTATATTCTTTTTCTTTTCTTTCCTATAATCAAGCATCAGGAAGGCTAGAAGTTGTTCACGCCCAGGGCTTTGGTCTAGTGGTAGAGCGCAGTGCATGATATGTGGATTAAACGCCCGTCATGAATTCGAATCCTCTGGCAAAAAAAACTAATATTTCAGCAGAGAAGAATAGAGGGGCAGCTCCATTATCGACCAAATCCCGAACTGTGTGCTACTGGTCCTCGGAGATTTCTGGATTATCAAGAAAAAAATATTGGATGTTGTTCCCAACCGACCAGCTAAATATTTATGATTTCCTCATAATAATATTACTTAAAAAAAAAACCATTGAATGAAGCTCCATAGAGATAAGATCCTAAAAATAACAAACGCATTTACTTCTGCATTTAATTCTGCCATGTTTCAGCAGCTGATATGTTGGTACTAGGGCCAACAATAATCTTAAAGGCAACCAGACTCAAAGTTGCAATTGGCCACCAAGTTTATGTTTCCCATTTCAAAAGGTCATTAGGACTGTACTAAGAAACGAATCAGATCATAGAGACTAGCAGGGCTTCCCAATATAAATTATCAACCAAAGAGAAGCTTCCAAGAATCTATACATGAAGGTTTAATGACTTGAACAAGATATTGTACTGAGATGAAAATTTACACCATTGTCTGTTAGTCAAAAAATAACCATTTACAGAATGAGCAAATCACATGGATCTTACTCACAAGCCTTTGACTGAGTAACATGTGATTTAGGAGCAAATAGCTCTACCAAGATATACTAACATAAAGGCATTGTTTTACAGAGTCATATGAAGAAGTCGAACTCTTTATGTAATAACACCCCCACCCAAATATGCACCAAAGATTGGAGGCTTACACAACAGCAGAAAATGTCGTTGGCTACTGTACATGTTAAACCAATATAAGGGCTTGTAAAGCTGAGATACAATGTGAGACATTCCAGCTTTGGAGTAGACTGTAGTTTGTGGTCCCGTCATATAGCTCCTAGAATCAAGGAAGCCCTGCAGTCAGGTTCAAAACTTGGCAAGTTATATTTCACATCACAATCATTATTTTGCTAGCAGGTTCTGATCGTGGCATCTGGTGTGTGGAGTCAACTTGATCAAGTCCAGCTTCTTTCCACAACCTTGAATTGAATGATTTTAGTAAAATCAACGGGCTGAAGAACAAGTTGCTCTAGAAACTGCATCTGTTGAAAGACTAGCTTTACACGCAAAGAAAACGAAAATCTAAAAGAGAAGGATCTCAAAAAGATTTAGTACATATAAACAATCAAAGTGATAACTCTAATAGTAAATTTTGTTAAAAATAGATATAAGTACAGCAATAACTCTTTTGATAAAATAAACGGCATTCCTCATTGACATTGGCGTCGCATGAGCATGGCCGACTCAAAGGGCACGGGCGGCCCAAGAAGAGCACGACCATCATTAGTAAAAGTACTAAGACTAATTTCTTGAAATCTGGAGATATCGAACATCAGAGGTTCTATTATCCAAGTTACTAGTCATGTACTCGGATTAGTAGCTTGCCACATTTTATCCTAATCTAGGAGTTGAGCATTTTATGTGGCAGAACAGGGATCTTCGCATATACCTTAATCCTGTCATTCAGTTTCAGTTCTTTACAGATAATCAAGACAAATCATCCATGCCATTACTACTAGTTTCAGTTGGGCCAAATGCTAGACAACTGATGAGCTGAGTGAGAACCTTACACTCTCACACTATATTAAATAAATTAGCTACAATTATATGGATCAGAAGAGAGTGCATTAATCTCTTAGTGATTTTTAGAATTCTTTTTAAGGATCCAAGTTGCATATGCATACCATGTGATACCCATTGGACATAGGTAGATCAATACAAAATTAAGAGTCTAAACTTATGCATTCACTTCATTTTGTTCTTTTGTGAGTGATTTGCCTAAATCTAAATCAGCAAGCACAATTTTAAATGCCAGTCACCCTAACTTACTTTAATTTCCAACACCAAATTGACAATATTTCACAACTGATTCACCCAATTTACAGAAAATATTTGACGTCTAAGAAAAACAAAAACTTTGCAATTATGAACTAATATAAGTCGAAAATCGCACACCAAGAGTGATTACCCTTAATATAAATATTCACAGTTCGCTCTGAAAACTACACAACACACTAATTAATTTCAAAAGCAACTAGCAGACAACAATATGAAAATCGAAACACAGAGAAAAAGATACTAACATCAGGATAGGATTTTAGGGTTTATAGAGCAAAAAATAAAGGGAGGAAGAATGGAGAAAAAAAATTGGACAATTTTTCGATTTGTACGTGTCATCCTTGCGCGGGGGCCATGCTAATCTTCTCTCTGTATCGTTCAAATTTTATCGGATGTCCCCGAAAGGACGAACTCATACGTTCAGCTTCCGCCATATAAACAAAGAGTTGCTTCTCGCTGTAGCCGATGAGGGATAATTAGGTCGTTGGCGTTTTATTGGGCTTTTGTTTCTTGTTTAGTTTTAGGTGGGCCTCGTTTGTAGACTATAATCCATTTGAGTACTACTACTACTACTATTGTTTTTCATTTTAAAACTAGTATTCGTACCATAATAAATGTAATTTTTCATAAAAATTATATCTTGAAAATACGATAGATACAAAGGAGCATGGAAATGTTATTATTTTTGGAACATGTAAATGTAATTGATACTCCTACAATGAAATCATAAGGAAACACAATAAAGAAACATACCGTTATTTCATGAAGTCCAATAATATTCTTTATAACCTCGAAAAAGCAAGCCATGTATACCAGCTAGAGTGCCACAAATAAAAGTTTCTAATACCCTGAAAATTCAGAAAGACGACAAAGACATAGTCATTCAAGATTGAAAAAATCACACATACATGAAAATAATTATTTCCCACTTGCACAACCTTGACATCCACAATATACATACTTTATTACAACAACTTTCCTAAGGTGCTTGGGGACACGATATGCACAAGTAGTTACAAAGTTGTGATCCCGAGGTTGTATGCAGTGCAAGCAGCAAAGATGCTCATATCCAGGCTGCATGTCAAAACACAAGAAATAGGAAAGAATTGAATATAAGAAACAAACAGATTTTGTAAGTTGTGGAGTATGTTGACTTCAAATACCTTCTTCCACCTTTCAATCAGGTTGCGATCTGCATAATGTTGTTCCAAATAGAACTCATACAACTCTTTTAGATATTTTATTTCTTCCATATTAAAGGTCATAAACATATCTGCTCCTTTGATGTGCAATTGTGAATATGGGTCAGAATGCTTCACACTTTCTTTTACCATCATTAGGGTCATTGCAAATTTTCAAGAACCCAAAAAATAGTAGTTAAGGTCTGAAAATTTCAATCAACAATGTAAGACAAAAAATATTACTCAATTTCACCTTGCATCAAATTACTCACCTTCTCTCGTTCAAGCATCCAACTCATGTAGAGTAGGCTCAATCAACTACCAACCCTCGGGGTATTTATATGTTTTGTCTTGACCCTAGGTATTTTTCAGCTGCAAATAAAAAAAAGATACTTATTTCATGTGCAAGAAGATGAATAGAGTAGTAACAGTTCCCATACCCACTACATGCACATAAATATAATTTTATAGGTAAGTAACCAGCACCAAGAAGGTGTTAATATCTCTACAAAAGTTAGTGTGCAATCATTCCCCGTAAGAATGCAGGAGAGTCTATGAATTCCACTGCATTACTAGGATCATTTATCTGGGTTTCTATTACTACAAAAGTACATATTTTGTACGTAAACATTTGAATGTTTCCAGCAAGGATAGAGTTTTATCCTGAAATATCTATGGTTCCTTTGAATCCAGACTGCCCTATAATTACACAAAGGATTGATAATGGTAAGTTTTCTCTGGCTCTTCTTAAACCTCCGTCCCTACCACCTGCTTAAACGTGATTAAGGGGGGTGGTATAATAAGATGTAATTATTTATGCAACTCTAGAATTATGACCAATAATTTCAACAGCTTATAAAGCTACCAATAACAGTAACTTCTTAACTACTCATAAGAGGAAAAGAATATAGAACCATCAAAGAGATATCGATGAAAATGCAACATCCACACCTTTCACCGAATAAAGAAAATGACATAAGTAATTGCACAGTTATCTTGCCATAATACTCTTTTCTAGATTGAACATCTGGAGCACTATAAGTCGGAGTATGAGCAATTGATTTTGGCCTTGAATGCAACAGGGTCGACAATAATTGCAGGAGGAAAACTATGACTATCTTATTATTTCCTAGTGTAGAAATATAAATATATACAAATAAGCAGAATAGCATCAAACTTTGAGTATCCAATATCATATATCCTCAAGTGTGGAGCTACTCTTTCATCAAGAAGGGTATTCTGCAACTTACTAATTTTGACTACTGGTGTAGTACAATGGAAATAAAAGTGCCTAAAAGGGGAAAGGTTATAGTTCCCACATAACTTAGTATGTAGCCTGAAATAACAACAGAATCAAACCAAATGATAGAAGCATTGCACATAGGGAACCAATGATTTGAAAAACATAAAAATTGTGGCCTTTATAATCATAGAATTGTGACAAAAGGCCTCAAATACCATTTCATTATCCTTCATAATAGTAGTATATGAGAAAAATGATTATTGACAAAATAAAAATATTTAAATATACTTCATATTCACTGAAGCTTTCTGCATTGGAAATGCGCCTAACAGGTTTTTGCCAACTGCATATTCAATAACGATGTCAAGATAAGTGAGAGTTAATACCACCTGTATCGCACAAAGCAAAAGAAAAATAGTTAGGGCAACAAATCGTTAGCTTTTTCTTGTCACTATCAAAACAAACCAACTTAAATACAACAGTGCCATCAAAATTAACAATATATAAGATCATAAAATAGTCTCATTGAAGCGAAAAGAGATTGATGATTAATGATCTCCCTTGCTACATTCTCATCAGTCTACAACAAATGGTGACATATAAATTTTTCAAAGACTCAATGACGTGAAGTGTACAATATTCATCTAATACAACGAAACCAAAGTAATTATATGAACCTAAGTTTAGGCACCTTGATACTTTAGTGGTCCGCATGTACATTATGTAAAGACACGACCGATCGTTTTGAGTTTTAGCTCGTCGTTCGACGGTTTGAGGCATTGAGTAACTTCACTTCAGGTATTATGACTTGTAGTATTTTTCTCTCCAAGTATTACCAATAACTGATTACCTACAAATCACTAGAACTCTTGAACATGTCAATAAGGGAATTTAGATTTAAACCATTGCTTCCACTTGAAAAGACCGACTTGCGCCCACAAGTACTAGACATATGAATATAGGCTTCTTCTTTTTTTTTGACTCAAGAAAATGTCCACTTAGCATATAACCTATTATGTGATGAACTTTTAATGAGCACATAAAAATACTTAAGTTGCAAAAATAAATTTTATACCATGTTAAAACTAGACATATAAAGATAATTTTATAAAGAGATGTTAGGTAAAATGCAATACATAATATATTTGTATCTTATATAGTAAGATATTTATAACTACAAACACTATATAACTAACTCAACTAAATTCATCAATCAGAAAATATTAAATTTAGCTATTATTCAATGTAATAACATTCATTTGCACCATTTAGACAAGTATTACATTCAGTTTAATATCACTACTATTTTCCAATAATATGTTCGTCTTGTATACGTTTTATACTGATTGACGCAATGAACACGTGCAACGCACGTACAATAAAACTAGTATTTTATAAATATATACATTTCATACATTTTTTGGCTAGCAATGCAATTAGTTTCAGCGGACCAGCTAATTTTGTATTATGCCCCAGTGTATTTGACCATTTGGTTGTGTAGTATCCATTTTTTTCTTGCCTAAGATTTCAATAGTTAAAAAAGAACATTTTGGCAATGTTATCGGAACTAAATATGCTCATTTCACTAAGAAGATGCATTGATTTTAGTTAGAATATTTAAAGCAAAACAAAATCATAAATCAAAATTAGAATTTTTTTTATTGAAATCCAATCACGAAAGAAATAAACAACAGATTTCACAAATAAATTCTTTTTAATTTCGACATGAGATTTTGTTATTGTAAGAAAATCATATATAGCCAAATAGGAAAACTTTCATTGTTGATCACCTTACTATTTTGTTGTTTTTATTCTGCTTTTATATGAATTTTGGTACTGTCCCTTCTTGTCTATATTTTCATTAATGTGGTGTTTATGCTTTCCTGAGCTTAGGATCTATTGAAAACAGCTCCTCTATCCTCACAAGGTAGGGGTAAAGTGTGCATAGACACTACCCTCCCCAGACTCCACGATGTGGGATAATACTGGGTATATTATTGTTGTAACCAAATAGGAAAACTTTTATTGAATGCTTTCAACGTAAAGTTGTTGAAAGCTTTCATAATTTGATTACAAAGCTTTGGAGAAACACAAATCTTCTTCTTCTTCTTTCCCCATACATGTTCTAATGAACGAGAAATACATATACTATTATGTCTCCCATAAGCAAATCTAATTTAAGATCAAAGGCATAAAAGAAATGTACCAAAGATTGAATGAACTCATTCTAACATTCTACTGGATAAATAATTGATAACCGTTTGACAGAAATAGCTTTGTAAGAACTGCAATCTCACAAGGAATAATTGCAACATTCAACTGCATAGTTGTCCCCTATTGTTAAATGATTTCCTGGCTTCTAAGGGGAAATTCTGATCAAACTTTTACCTATAAAACAAGGCAAACATATAGTAGTAATAGCCAAGCTACCAAATCAAAATCTCGGCATGAAGGACTAATGGCTAGGAACAGCACGTGCAGCTTCTTCTAAGATTTTTCGAGCTTCACCGTCAGGTTCAGCAAGCTCACCAGGATTCTGCTAGATCAAATCGATCAGACATCAAAAACCTCATAACTACATATTGCTCCTAGTAGGACAAGCCCCTGAAGCTAGTAATAATCTGACGACATTTGCATGTTCATCTCTGGCAGCATGATGGAGAGGCTTTTCAAAATCAACCAAACACGATTAGCGACAAGATGCTTCAGTACTGTTTAGTTCTACAAAACTAAAGCAACAAATAAAATTTTAGTAGAAACCCATACTTACATCAACAGAGTCCAACATCCTCTTCACATTCAGGGTCGAGAGCACTGTTGATGTTGGGCTATCTCCGTGTACCCTGTTAAAAGTCATATCGTTAAATGAATTGATATAATTAAAAAATATGACAATAGAGGATAGCTATGACAGTGGAATATCAGTATGAACTTGGAGACGCAAGACATACCACCAGACAAGCATCATGCAATGGGATTGCTCCATCTTCATCCTTAGCCTCCAAAGAAGCTCCCCTCTCTAACAATAGCTGGGTGTGGAAAACGCAATTAAGGGTGTTTGTCATCCTTTTGGTTATAAGATCGTTAAGAGATCGACAGATCAATTAAAATGGTGAATTCATGAAATAAAGTTAGGCAGGTGCACCAACCTGCACACAATGGAGATGGCCATACAAACATGTTAGATGAAGAGCAGTGTCCCCATCTTCAAGAGGTTGATCAATGATACCACTCAAATTATCTGCAGCAATCAGGTAGAAGCACGTGAATATGATGCAAAAATGAAAAGCATAATATATTGAACAGGTTATTCAACCAAAAAAAAAAAAATCAACTTCAACTCAAATATTGTCCAAATGCCAGAGTTAATTCTCTTGAGAGAGTCAACATACTGCTCATTGCAGGTCTGTCAAAGTCAAACTATACTAAACTAATTAGTTGTACAGAAAGAGGAGGAGAGCAAGTAAGAATGTTATTTCGGACACCAATGTTAGTTGCAAGTTTTGAAACCAATAGATCAGCAGAAATGAGTGTATGCAGTAGAATTTCAAGGCAAGTCCCTCAAGCACTCTGCTGAACCAAATTGTGCGACCTACTTCATAGGAAAGTGAGAAGAACATATGATAGTTTGGGGACGATTCTACGGAGTTGGATGAGATGAGTGAGTAGATGAATCACCAAATCAGAAGGCACAACAGAGGTATGAAAGATCAACTGTCTCTGTCTCTCTCATACACACACCACTATAAGGTGTGTCAAAGTCAAACTATACTAAACTAATTAGTTGTACAGAAAGAGGAGGAGAGCAAGTAAGAATGTTATTTCGGACACCAATGTTAGTTGCAAGTTTTGAAATCAATAGATCAGCAGAAATGAGTGTATGCAGTAGAATTTCAAGGCAAGTCCCTCAAGCACTCTGCTGAACCAAATTGTGCGACCTACTTCATAGGAAAATGAGAAGAACATATGATAGTTTGGGGACGATTCTACGGAGTTGGATGAGATGAGTGAGTAGATGAATCACCAAATCAGAAGGCACAACAGAGGTATGAAAGATCAACTGTCTCTGTCTCTCTCATACACACACCACTATAAGGTATGGGCTTCTTAGTAGTCCAGCTCAATTTTGTTCCTACTCCTTCCACCATCCTCAGTATTGAAACAAAATAAAGTTCAACAGAGCGACCTTGTTGCAATGAAACTCTGACAACAAGGTGATGAAGCATTCTTTTGGCACATCCCTTCTTTTCGAAAGTTAATACATCTCGTCCAAATTCAGAACTCATCTAAATGATAACTGAATCAAGACTAAGAACCACCAATTTACTCAGACTCGATCCGATTACATAAAGTTTTCATCTTTCAAACAATTAACCCGCATTAACGAACTCATCTAAATAGCTGTTGAATCATTATCTTCCCACAGCCACCCCCTTCAAACCCCTTCTAGCAATTATCCTGCAACCGCATACTACATCACATTCAAGAAAGGGTTACCACAAAAATAAAAAATAAAAACATAATTACCCAAAAAAGTTTTCTTAAAAAAAACTCATCTTTATCAAGTTAATGGTCAGAAGAGTAAATTAATTCACCTCTCAAAAATAAAAAAGCACCAAACCACAATCACAAAAACAAGACCCTTTCAAGAATTACTAGTACCATATTATACTTTAACACACTAGCCAAGTTACCAATCATGTAATCAAATTAGTAGCTTGCCACATTTTAGCCTAATCTAGGAGTTGCGCACTATATGCGGCAGAACCGGGATCTTTACATACCTTAGTCCATTGCCCATCATTCAGTTTCAGTTCTTCAAAGACAACCAAAATGATATCATCCATTCAGTCACTACTATTTGATCAGTTCACGCAGAAAATAAACAGCTTATCGAAAGAAGCTAATCGATAGATCTTCATGTATTGTAAAATTGGGCAGAATCAGTCAAATAATAATAAGTTCCACCAAACGACATGGTGAATCATAGGTAATTTGGATGGAATTTTCTTTTGCAACTAACACTTGTAAATAAGGAGATCTTGTTTTCAACTTGAGATAAATGCTAAAGTTTAAAGGGGGCGAGGGGGCTGGGATGGAGTAAAACCAGATATCTTCATTAATAAAATTGCAGGCCCCGTAAGTCAGATCAGTGACATGGTAATATGAATATCCCTATATTCATTGTTCCATTTTGTAAGAATAACTAGAGCAACAAGCTGCTCGAATGGTTCTAACATATGCAAAAGGTTCTGCTGCGCCTTAGTCGATTATTAAGGTCTTTGCAACAAACTTATCATCGAACAAGACTAGTAAGCCAAGATTAGACATCTACTCATATCCCCCTTGCTCCATGCGACTATTTTGTTACTTAAAGTTCTTTGTGATTGTAATATATTTGATGCATTACTAGACCAATTCATGAATTATACTTACCAAAGCTCAATGTTGTGTTAACGCCAACTTTTTCTTAGGAAAAAGGACATTATATCATCAAATATAAAGAGAATAACAAGTAAACAAAGACCAACATCTGAGCGGAAAATGGTTTTCAGGTGATTGTCTCCCAATATGCTAGTAGTACTGGTGTCTTTGACTCCAATTTTCATTTTGTAAATTAAGAGCCCAAGCCTATGCATCCTTTTGTTCGTTTCTAGGTAATTTGGCAAAGTCTAGGTCAGCAAGAGCAAATTATATATGCAAGTCATCCTTAATTACTTCAATTTCCAACCCCAAGTAAGAAAAATCTCCAAAAAGAAACTACAGTCACCACCAGTTTAAATATTAACCTACACAACACACTATTTAATTTCAAAAGCAACTAACTAGGTTTCAACATAAACATTGACAGACAGCAATATCAAAATCGAAACAGAGAGAGAAAATACTAACATCAGGATTCTAGGGTTTATAGAGCAAAAAAGAAGGGGAGGAAGAATGAAGAAAAAAATTTGGACCATTTCTCGATTTGTGCGTGTCATCCTTGCGCAGGGGCCATGCTAATCTTCTCTGTATCGTTCCAATTTTATCGGATGTCCCCGAAGGGACGAACTCATATTTTCAGCTTCCGCCATATAAACAAAGAGCTGCTTCTCTCTGTAGCCGATGAGGGATAATTAGGTCGTTGGCATTTTATTGGGCTTTTGTTTAGTTTAAAGCCCACTTCGTTGATAACTAACTAAGTGGGCCTCATTTGTAGACTACAGTCCATTTGAGTACTACTACTATAATTTAGAGATTTTTACACACTTAATCCTTTTTGATTATTATTTTAAAAAATAGAATCATTTCTTGTTTATTCCATAAAGTGACTTTTTTTTACAATATTAGCGTATTACAAAATTTATGCTCAACATTTAATGAATGCGTTAATCACGCTTTCTTGACCTTTTCTTTTTGAATAACTCCATGCATTTCAGCTAAACATGGCAATAGAAAAGCAATTTTTATCTCTTTTAGGTGGAAATGGACTCCTTCAGAGTAGTCATTCCATGGATCGTATATACCCATAATTACGGATGATTCACTCAATTAATTTGTATCACATATGAATCATCCATGATACTACAATTATAACAATTATTATACCATGTATAATATTGGAAATTAAGTTGCATAAAAAACATAACTAAAAGGCATGAAACATCAATAATATTATTATACTAGCATAATACCATGCATCATCATTATATCAAAATTATGCCATACATCTAATTTGCAAATATCTTACATAATAACACATATGAAACATTAAAATACCATTATTATACTACAATTATACGATATACAAGAGCTCCAATTTATATTATATGGTTAATAATTAAAAATATAAATTATATTCATATTTGAAATATTTATTGGTATTTGAATGATACCGTCATTAAATATTCAAAATACATACATAAAATATATATGGCATATATTTAAATTCTTGAAAGACATTGATAGTTTCAGTTGAAAAAATACTACAAATAAACCATTATTATGCCTATCAAATATCTTTTTCATTTAGTTATATATATCTTAAAAGTGGCCTTAAAATCTCTATCTTCCACCACTTAACTAATGTCCTGGTAATGCTACGAGTATTATAATTAAAGGCATGATTTTAATTTATAAAAGAAAATATATAACAAAGTAATGAAGACCGAAAGTACATATAATTAGGTATCAAATAAGCATGAATCTTTCTGCATGAATCTCGCCCAAGAAAGAGTTATGTTGTTGGAAGCTGCTATGTTATATAAATATTTTATTGCCATAAATGATAATTAAGTTATGTTGATATGTTTTCGTAAATTTTATTTAAATGTTGCCTAGTTATGTTTTTTCAATTGTTTTTCATTTTAAAATGGTGGCAAAATGCACTTGAGAAATAATTTATTGAGAAATGTATATTTTTTGTTGCTCCCCAAAAAAATAGCTGATATATATATATATACACTTTTTGGCTAGCGAATGCAATTAGTTTCAGCGGACCAACTAATTTTGTATTATGACCCAGTTTATTTGAATATTTGGTTAGGTAACGTGTTATAGAACTATCCTTTTTTTTCTTAGCCTAAGATTTCAATAGTTAATAAAGAACATTTTGGCAATGTTATCAGAATTAAATATGCTCATTTCACTAAGAAGATGCATTGATTTTAGTTAGATTAATTTAAAGCAAAACAAAGTCATAAATCAAAATTAGAAATTTTCTATTGAAATCCAATCAAGAAAGAAATAAACAAAAAAATTCACAAACAACTTCTTTTTAATTTTGACATGAGATTTAGTTATTGAAATCATGTATCACCCAAATAGGAAAACTTTTAAGGGAAAATTATGCGACACATCAAACATATACACAGTATTTACCATTCGTAGCTACACTTCAGCAAATTTACCATTTGTAGCTATATTTGAATTTTATAGCAAATCTATCAAAGAAGAGATTAATTGTTTTGAATTGAAATAAGAGAGCAACAAGTTATCCTAGCTTAGTTGGTTAGAGTGTCAATTTAGTTGGCGAAAGTCTTGAATTTGACTCTCAACAAGAGCATTTTATTTTTCTATATTTCTGTATTTCGCCTTGGTTGTATTCGTTGCACGAACAAGTATTTGTGTACACCCTTGTATACCGTCGATACATGTTGTATTCGTTACGCGAATGAATACAATTGTGAACGAATACAGTTGGTACAGGTTGTATTCGTTGGCGAACGAATACAATTGACATAGATTGTATTCATAGCGCGTTCGAATACAAGTGATACAAGCTGGTAATAATATATCAGTAGCTACGAATGGTAATTAAGCAAACTATAGTTAATAGGCTCTAAACTATAGTGCTTAATGAAAAATCCTCGAACTTATAATGAAAGCTTTCAACTTAAAGTTGTTGAAATACGTCCTGCGTGCCCCTCCCATGCCCCTATATCTTTGATCGCACAAATCAAATAAGAATATTCTTTTCATTTGTTTCCTCAGCATTTCTGAATATCCTGTCCTATGATCAGTACGCAAATACGACTAGAAAAGTTTGTTCATTTTTAAATAAGTAAAACGACTAGCGTTGTATGAAATGACATCATAAAATATCAGTACTGGATATTCTAGCCTACAAAAAGAAGATACAACGCCACAAATCTAATGAACGAGCATTGAATATATTATTTTGTGTCCCAAAAGCAAAATTAATTTAAGATCAAGGCATAAAAGAAATGTACCAAAGATTGAGTGAACTGGATTCTAATATCCTACTGGATACATAATTGGTTACCGTTTGACAGAAATAGCTTATGTAAGAACTGCAATCTCACAGGAATAATTGCAACATTCAATTGCGTAATTGTCCCCTATTGCATAGGGAAAATTCCGATCGAACTTTTACCTATAAAACAAGGCAAACCTATAGTAGTAATAGCCAAGCTACCAAATCAAAATCTCGGCATGAAGGACTAATGGCTAGGAACAGGACGTGCGGCTTCTTCTAAGATTTTTCGAGCTTCACCATCAGATTCAGCAAGCTCACCGGGGGTCTGCAATAGCCAAAATGAATCGATCAGACATCAAAAACCTCTTAACTACACATGATAAATCAATGAAATGTCGCATCAGCTGCTAACCTTTCCATATATATTGGTCCTAGTAGGAGAAGACCCTAAAGTCAGTAATAACCTGACGACAGTTACATGTTCACCTCTGGCAGCATGATGAAGAGGCTATTCAAAATCAACCAAACACAATTAGCGACAAGATGCCTATGTACTATTTATTTCTACAAAACTAAAACAAAGACAAAAATTTTAGTAGAAATCCTTACCGAATCACCTTCTACATCAACAGAGTCCAACATCCTCTTCACACATTCAGGGTCAGGAGCACTGTTGATCAGCAGTTGGGCTATCTCCGTGTATCCTGTTAAAAGTCATATCTTTTTTATGAGAAATGAATTGATATAATCCAAAGATATGACAACAGATGTTAGTTACGACGGTGAAATATCAGTATGAACTTGGAGCGTATGACATACCGCCAGCACAAGCATCATGCAATGGGATTGCTCCATCTTCATCCTTAGCCTCCAAAGAAGCTCCCCTCTCTAACAATAGCTGGGTGGGAAAACACAATTAAGGTTGTTTGTTTATCCTTTTGGTTATAAGATCGTTAAGAGATCAACAGATCAATTAAAATGGCAAATTCATGAAATAGAGTTAGGCAAGTGCACCAACCTGCACACAAGGGAGATGGCCATACAAACATGTTAGATGAAGAGCAGTGTCCCCATCTTCAAGAGGTTGATCAATGCTGCCACTCAAATTATCTGCGGCAGTCCATCAGGTAGAAACACGTGAATATGATGCCAAAATGGAAAACATGATAATTGAACAGGTTATTCAACTTTCACAAAAAAAAAAATCAACTTCAACTCAAATATTGTCCAAATTCCAGAGTTAGTTTTCTTGAGAGAGTTAACATATTGCTCATTGCAGGTCTGTCAAAGTCAAACTATACTAAACTAAATAGTTGTACAGAATGAGGAGGAGAGTAAGAAAGAATGTTATTTCATCAATGTTAATTGCAAGTTTTGAAACCAATAGATCAGAAGAAATGAGTGTATGAAGTAGAATTTCAAGGCAAGTCCCTCAGCATTCTGCTGAACCAAATTGTGCGACCTACTTCGCAGGAAAATGAGAAGAGCATATGATAGTTTGGGGATGATTCTACAGAGTTGGATGAGATGAGTGAGCAGATGAATCACCAGAAAGGTGCACTCAGAAGGCACGAGAGGTATAAAAAACCATCTCTCCCTCTCACGCATGCACACACACACACACACATCATTATATAGGCATGGCGTCCAACTCAATTTCATTCCTACTTCTTCCGTGATCCTTGCAAAGGACCAATCTTGTTGACATGAATCTTTGACAACAAGGGTGATGAAGCATCTTTTGGTACATTCCTTCTTTTTCGAAAGTTAAAGCATTTCGTCCAAATTTAGTATTATCTAAATTATAATAAGATCAAGACTAAGAACCACCAATGTATTCGGGCTCTGCCCCCACATAAAGTTTTCATCTTTCAAACAATTAACCCGCATTAACAAACTCACTCAAATAGCCATTGAATCATTATATACCCACCACTTTCAAACCCCTTCAAGCAATAATCCTGCCACCACATACACCACATTTAACAACAGCTTACCACAAAAACTCATTATTATCCCAAATTTTAAGCAGATCATCTTCACACCCCCGCCCAAAAAAACTCATTTTTATCAAATTGATGGTCAGAAGAGTAAATTAGTTCACCTCACAAAAATCAAAAAGCACCAAATCACAATCACTAGCACCGACTATACTTTAACACACTGGCCAAAAAATAAACATCATCCCACAAAATAACCCCAAAAATTAAAAAAACCCAGCTTTAATCCTGAAATTCTCAACAGGCAATAAAGTGTAAAAATCAACAAACAAGCAGATATGAGACCAGAAATACAAATAGCAAGAAAAAAAAAGAGAAATTAAATACCAAGGGCATTGCGGAGGGCGTCGAGGTTTCCATTCTCGGCAGCATCGAAGAGGTTGAGCAGATGAGGAGGGACATCATTGGGCTCCTCCACCTCAATTTCCTGTCCGAAAATAGCTCCTTCTTCTTCTTCCTCTTCACCCATCATACCGTTACGTCCCCTTTGTACTGCCATTTCTCTCTATCTTTGCTCTGTTTTCCTTAACAAGTCAAAACCCTGCAGCTTAAACCCCAGGCTATGAGAACACACTACTGTCGCCGTGCAGGTCTTTTTGCGGGTACGCTAAAGTTCCTTCTGTATATTCTTTGAGAAAATGGACAAAATTGGTTCATTGTGTTTGGGTAGGTTCAAAGTAGTCCTTTAAATATATTCTTGAGCATTTTGGTCTATTATGTTTGTAAAAAGTGAGTATTTTTGGTATCTGTTAAATATTTAATAAACTCTCACCGTTAACTAGGGTTGTTCATGGTTTGACAAAAAAATGATCCAAACCAAAAATCGAACCAAACTGATTAAGTAAACTGATATTTTTCTTGATTTGGATTGGTTTTGATTTTAAATTTTAAAAATTGATAATATTTAGTTTGGTTTTGGTTCTATTATAAAAAACCGAAAAATAAACAGAATCAAACCGATAAATTATATATAAAATTTAATAACTATTTATATAAAGTATCATATCTTTTTGTAAATAATTTTAAATATTTTTTGCATTTTAATTATTATATATAGATTTTGGTTTATACTACTTATATCTTAAAAGATTCCCTAAGACCAAAGTAATAGGAATTGGCCAATTTCTTTTCCTTAAGAGACTCAAATTCTCTAACCCTACGTATCTATTTTTGCCTAACAGAAGAGTTACAAAAAAATCTATCATAAAAGTTAAAAAAAGCTATTTAAATTGCAAGACTACGGGCTAAAGTTTAAGAAGATTTTTATGAACGTAAGATTCTAATTTGTTACAATAAATACTTTATCATTGATTCAATAAAGTGATGTTAGGCATTGACTAGTTTGGAGCTTAAGCTAAGGACGATGATGGAAGAGCTGCGACAGTGATCTTTATGAAGAAAAAAAGTAGAAGTGAATATGATATTATGGATTCTCTCGTTCTTTTTTTAGTTTAAATACATAATTTTTACTTTTAAATGGACAAAGTTGTTTATACTTTGGAACCTTTATTTTGGCTTATTCTTTTGATTCTATCATGTACTGCAATTTAGTTCACCCGATACAGTTTTCTATCTTATATTATTGCTACAATTTTAATACTCTGCTTTATATTATATGCTACAATTTCAAATGTAAATAGTTAAAAGAACTATCACGGTAGGTATTTAAAATTATGCTCTAGTAGTTGTATAGTGTCGTTTTACTATTATCGACTTATCATTAGCTTATTAAAACAACCAAACTGATGGTTTGTTTTAATTTGGTTTGGTTTTGGTTTTAAAATTTTAAAAACCGATTAAATTGGTTTGGTTTTGATTTTAATAAAAACCTGTCTAAACCGAACCGTGAACACCCTTACTGTTAACTTTAATGAGATAGTGAGAGAGAAAAAATTAACCAGAACCATATTCTTTTATGTTTGGAAAATGTGTCGGGCCAATACTACGAGCTACCGGAATCCAATGGAATCTTCGTAAAGTTAATTATTACGAGTGTTACGATTCATTCAGTTGACATATCCACTCGATTCATTGCCTCTCGAGTACAACTTATATTCATCGCAAGCACCATTGTTCGATACAATAAATCCTTTAAATATATCTTGAGCATTTTGGTCTCTTGGACCAATATAACAATTTATTTAATTGGCAGGCTCACTTGATACATAGCATCTCGAGCACAACTCTTATTCAAGCCAAAGCTACATTTGTTCGACACTACATGTGAAGCAAAATATTTGTCAGTTCAGGCTAAAAATACATACATACATAGTGCTTTAATACCAAGGCGGACAACAAAAGCTCGAGACGGAGCCGCATGATGAGGCGAAAGTCTCACGTACAGTTCTATGAGAAGGAAGTGGCTACCTAAAATTACATAAGTGATTAGAGCAATGTTCCCTAGCTTGCTTTGGAAAGAGCTGGCTTCTTCCTCTTGAGTGTAGGATAGCCACTAATTCTTTTGATTAATTGCGTCAAAGTAAAATCATGTTCAATTTCAGAAGCAGTAATACCAAAAACTGCACAGCATTAAAAATAGATAAAAAGAATTGGAAAATATTCAACTAAAAAAACTACTTATACCAAACTAAAGCTGAACAACTAATATATTATTATTATCGTTAATTTCTTTTAACGTTGCTGTCAGTCAACCTTGAGCATTCAAAATTAACACACACACACACACACAAAAAAAAAAAAAAAAAAAAAAAAAAAAAAAAAAAAAACTAAGCTCCATCGCTCATGGTATAATTACAGTTAGGAGTGGCAAACGGGCGAGTCGGGTTGGATATGGTTCGGATAAAAAAACGGGTAATGAAAAAACTGATAAATTATCCGACCCGATCCATATTTAATACAGATAAAAAATGGGTTAACCAACGGATAATATGGGTAACCAAGTGTTCATATTCAAGAAATCATGAATAATATGGGTAACCATATTATCCATGGTTTCTTGAATATAAACACTTTTGGGAGAATTTCTAGTCTTCCAAACTTGAGAAACCTCCAATTTGAGGCTTTACAAATATAAAAGTTAAACTCTTATCCATTGGTTACTCATTGGTTATCTATTTTCTAAATGGATAATATGGTTCTTATCCATATTTGACCAATTTTTAAAAAGTTCATTATCCAACCCATTTTTCAGTGAATAATATAGATGGTTAACTATGTTCTTTTAACCATTTTGCCACCCCTAATTACAGTAGTGTATATCTAATCAAACAAGAAAACAAAATTTTATATCACCCTTTTTAATTAGGAATTAAGAGGATTTGATAATCCTTAAAAGATTTTGTACCACGTAGGACCGTTTATGATCGTATATTTTTAGCTGGTTGAGATTTACAATCCATGGTGAGCACGTCTTTGTATTACAGATAAATGATGTATTTAATAAAGTATAAGAAAGATCACATTTTATCAAATACATAAAATTGTTTCTAAGTTCTAACGTTGATTTTCAAGTCCAATGATAAAAGCAGCCGCGAGATGGTTTCTCCTCACAAAATGAAGTTTAAGTTTTATGCACTGATAATGAAAGAAATATTTATACAATCATGTCACTTACTCAATATAATTATAAATAAGTGTTTAACGAATATTAATTGTTAATCTGATAAAAACCATAACTAAAATTCATTAAATGAAAAACTCGAACGAAATGGGAACATTTCATCTTTCAAATATTAACTTTCTTAATCCTCTTCCCTTTTAGAATATATGTTTCTTTACCCTCAAAATCGGATAACAATTAGATTTATACGTAATTTTAAGGATATGTGATCTAGCTAGCTTGATAAAAAATGATAAATCAGATTGAAATTGAAATAAACAATAGGAAAGTATTAAATGCAATCCACACAAGTTGAACAGTCTTAGCCTTAAAAGGTTAGCCGCCCTCGAGCCAAAAGTACTTTTATCGATATCGGAACAGAATGACAAGAGAATAATAAGAACTAAAAATAACAATATATTACTTTTGAATGCGAGTTAGAGTATGTTTCACAAGTAATCAGACCTCATTTATATAGTAGGGGAGTCCTACCTTAGGTACAATTCTATAAAAGGTAAAAATCTCCTGGTTTGATGATTTGCCGGTTCCTTATTGATACGTGTCGAGATTCTCGCCGTGATATCCGACCGGTTACGGATATTCCGGCCTTCCGTTATTTCAGTCTTCTGTTGGTTATACCGGCTATGTTTTCTCGAACTTATTCGGGGTCGGGGTCGATTTCGGGATCATGGACTCAATGTTCTCAAGGACGGACATTTTAACTTCATGTTCTGATTCGATGAGACTCGGGATCGATCTTCAACCTCTCGCGTTCTGAGCCCGATCTGTCATGCAATAGTCGAACCCGATTTCGACCGTATACAAAGTTCATGACAGTTCCTCAATAAGCTAATTTCACGTTTATTCTTGTTTCAGTTGTTAGATAATATTCTCTATTTTCTTTTAAGATTTGCTCACTTCCTAAAATCTTTGAATTTTTTTAAGTTGAAGCAAGAGAATAGAAAAAATGAGATAGGGTTTCAAAACAATCCAATAAGTATGCTTCTAATTTTAAATAGGTTGGGTCTTCGATCTCACAAAAACATCTTTATCTTTACATGTCATATTGTGGTTATCCTAAAATAGTCAAAACACACCAACAAGAGAAAATGATTGTGACTGCACGACAATTTTGTTTTAGAATTAGTAGAAGTTGAAACAAAATGTATGGAATCCTAGACCTACCTTGCCTTTCTTATGCAAATGATCATACCCTGTGAAAATGTCATTTAGAAAAGCAACCTGATGTACAAAGCAACCCACGTTAATGCAGGGTTCGAGAAAAGGTCGCACCTCAAAAGATGTGATGTAGATGCGCAGTCTACCTTAGTACAAGCATTAGGGGTTATTTCCACGACTCAAGATCGATAACTTTTTATGTCTAAGTTCACGCTTCCAGAAGATGATAATATAATTTAAAAATAAATTATCGAGGGTTCCTAGATTATTCAAGATCAATAATACCTTACACTTCTTTGGCAACAAAGTAAAAATTTTAGCGACTAGTTTCTTTTCTTTGGGCTGGCATGCAAAACTATTTTCTACCATTCTCTTCATCCATATCAAGTGCCAAAATCAAATGGGACCTTACGATAATGATTGACTTGATATGGAAACTAATATTCCTAAGATGAGTTAGTTCCAAAGTCTAATATAATTGCATAAGCAAGTGCAGTAGGTTATATAATATGTAGTTTTTTTGCAGTGGATGTGTCAACAGTTCCAAAGTCTAACATAATTGCATAATTAGCTCATTAAAATATATAGTTTATTGGTTTGGGTAGAGTATGTGCTGAGAATAAACGTATTTGATTCCTCTTATAATTGGCATCCACCACATAGTTTCATATATCATAATCATCTTTTGAGGTAAAGGTCACCCTCATTAGGGAATCTGGCCAAAGACAACACAATTAATTATTTATCTTTTTAGTATTAAGTATGCGTTAAAATATTTTTTAAATGTCACTCTCATTAGCTATCATTTTGGCTTTAGTAGTCGACCATTGTGGTTCTTTTTTGTATTATGTGATCCATCAACACTTAGAGATAATGATAATTAACGAATCAAATTAAAAGATAATCATCTTTAATAT